ACACACACACACACACACATATATATATATATATATATATATATACAATAAATAATGAATATATGAAAAATAAGTAAACTATACATAAATAGGAAGTGGAAATAAATATGAATAAACAGGAAATAAATGTGAATTACAGAAACAACAAAACAAAAACTTTATTTACATCTTAAAAATTTGATTATACCTAACACAAATATCAAGAAAAAAATAAAGATTGCCTAAAATGAATAGGCCTGAAATAATAATCAGAATAATCTTGATTAATGTGGTTTAGTTTTTCAGTATTTAAAAAATATATTACTTTTCAATAAATAATGAATATATGAAAATAAAAAACATATACATAAATCGGAAGTGGATAAATATATATATATATGACTTACAGAAATAGAAAAACAAAACAGGAAATAAATAAGAAAAATAGGCATAAGCAGGACATAAATATGAGTTAAAGAAACTTGTTTTGTCATATAAATGTGTTTATACCTAGCACAAATGTCAAGAAAAAAGAGGAGACAGCCTATGTAAAATTGAAGGTAGCCTCTAGAATAGCTAATCTTGTTCAATATAAAGCTTTAATTTTTCATTATTTAAATGATTAATTTTGCAGTTATTATTTAATTGTCAATAAATAATGGATATATAAAAAATAAGTATCCTATACATAAATAGGATTTGTGTAATTTGTGTGAAATATAATTTGTGATGTAGTTGATATAGGCTATATGGTCGAAATTAAAGCTATTAAAACAATATGCAGGGAATTGATGGAAATTACAGTCAGACACACAGATGGAGAAATACATTTCTCTGCAGACACACAATGTAAGGTCCGAGTGGAGGTGAAATTAGTCGAGAAGTACCATATATAGACAGTAAATACTTCTAGGAATTCTTGAGTTATCTCAGCCTGCTCTAAACTTGACTCAAATTCCGTTTACCTTGAAAGACTGCGCGCTGTACACAAACGACTGCATCAAAGACATTACAACTAAAAAACCTACGTTTGATTGCTGCCTTACATTTTTCAATCAAATCAAAGGAGGGCCTGCAGCGATAATACTAAACTCGGAAAAAAGGGGAGGGGTGATAACTCAGACAATACCTCTAAGATAACAATATTTCCAACTGAGTATAATGAGTGTGATTACTGTTGTATCATCATACTAAGCAGTCGCTCGTATCTCTTATCTCTCTACAGCTTTTATAGAGAACACATCCAGATTTATCGGGTCATAAAATCGAGCTTTACGTTCTCGCACAGACAGCGAGGTTATTTTACGGCAACATTTTTATTTTACAAGAAAGTACGAACAAAATCCCAAGCCATTGCTGTAAAACATAATGTGCAGAGAGTAGCGCAAGAAAAAAAGTTCTTCCAGTGCGTATTTAAACGTATTTAAACTCAATTCAATTATTTAAAATAAAGTAAATTATTTATAAGTATAAAAGTAAAATAATGTTTTGTAGCACTATAGAACAATATGTGATTTCTCTATGGCGTATGCACGGATCATATTTGCTTTGGTGCCTCTGTCAAAGCTATTTTCTAACTGCTTTTAACGCCTCTTAAAAGTTAACTTTCATCAACTAAAAACACAATCGTTTAAAATAGGGCTGAGTGGACTCAGCAAATATAGATCTTACAGGTAGGAGCACACCCCTCCTCCGCAACACACCATCTAGTTTATCCCTCGTTCTTCTCCTCCTCCATGGGTCCTACCTTTGGAGCGCGTCACGTGGTTCTGCTCTTTCAAATAACTCGCAGTAAAGTAGAGAGCAAATCAGAGAACAGTTATATTAGGCATGATCTGCAGCAGCAGCTATATCTCCAGATACAGACCAGGCAGAGTGACACGTCCAAACGCGGAGAGGACAGCTACAAGTTTTTCGTGTGTCGCAGACTCGTTGGAGTTTGAGTTCTGGGCTAAAATCAAGAAGAAAGACGAGAGTGGGAACTTCCACGGCGATATTCAATCAAGTCACTTGGAAAAGAGGTTTCCTGGCTTTATCACTGACCGTCCTTATCTGGTGAGATAATTCAGCGAGAGCTCTTGGATGAAAATATATAAACCGTTTCCTTTCAGCTATCAACGTTTATATGTAATCTTCGTTTTCAATGATAAAATATAGATGTTAGAGAGATTGCAGTGCGGATTGATTCGATCCCCACAGATGATTTAATATAGCATAGAGTTTTCCCAGGATATCTGAGACTGCTGCTGATAATTAATTAATATCCCTATGTAAAGATATGGACAGTTGGCTAATTAATGTCATTTTAGTCTATTAATTACAAATCGAAACAGATACAGATAACCGAAAAATCCAGAAAAATTCTAACGGCTTGTCCATCTTGACTATATAGCAGCCGATGTGTTTTTTCTTCCGTTTTTGATTGTTTATAAAACTTCGACTTATTACATTCCTGATTTCAAAGCATTGTTGCAAATATTGGATTCACACAATTGAAACACAAATTCATTCAATGATTATCAATTCAAAACTATTATGAGGCCTATTATGATTTGATTCTTTTATTCTCTTTTTTTTTGTATAATCCTAATCTGTTACTGAGAAAATAATTTAATTTGCTATTTTTCGGTTTGTCATTAGGAGAGAATTCCTTTTTCTGAGGCTGCTGCTCACGAAACCCTTGCATTGGAGATTTTGGACGTTATCGAGGCTTTTACTACAATCTGGGCTCATTTTAAGATTTTCAAAACTTGAAAGGATAGCTTAGTCATTGGATACATTATGTATTCGAGTCTGGCTTTATCTTCCAATCCGTCCCCCTACGCACACGATTCCGGGAACTACATCCATCCGTCCGCCAGCTCACCTGTATATGTGCCCACCACCCGTGTACCTGCCATGCTCCAGACCCTGCCCTACCTACAGACGTGTGAGTCCACACATCAAGCTCACGGGCTCGGCAGTCACCACGCCTGGCCACAGACTGGCACGGAGAATTCCTCTTTCAACCCGGGCAGCCCTCATCCTCCGCCCGGTTTCTCTTATTCGCACAGCCCGCCGGTAAGCAGCAGCACCGGCAGGGACGCCGCGTACCAGAATCCGCTGGTGTTGAGTAACAGCGGCCGGGCAGATCAATATGGAAGTGCCCTGATGCGTTCCGTCGGTGGCTCGTACTCCAGCCCGTACGCGGCCTACATGAGCCCGGAGATGGCAACATCATGGACGCCAGGGCCCTTCGATGGCGGCATGATGGGTCTTCAGGGACGTCAGGGAACTCTACCGGGAAGGAGGTCCAGTTTAGGTAAAATTATTTTCCACAATATTATCTCTCTCTTTCTCTCTCTCTCTCTCTCTCTCTCTCTCTGATTGGACATGTAAATATATGTACACAAAAATAGCAAAACGTTTACTCAAGTTTTGTCTGCACCACTTTTAAAATAATTTTGCTGAAGATTCTGTAACTAGGGTTTAAGATCATTTTGCACAAATCCCGTATGTTAAAGTTAGTTATTACATTTGGGTCGTTAGTTGGCAACAGTTTAAAATCCATCTTTCAAGTCAGCAGGCAAAAATGGTTGGAATGGAGGGGGTTTCGTTTGATGCTGTGATCTCACAATTTATAGCAACGGTGTTGAAGGTTATTTATTGCTGTCTGGCTGTTTATGTTAGACTATCGTTGTTAAAAGGCACTAGAATACCAGCTAGTTTTGGCTAGGGTACACAGGCACATTACAAAACCTTATCAAAACAAAACTTGATCTTATTCCACTAATAAACATCCTTTAATGGGCAATGCAATCAATTTAATTTAGATGTTAATTTAATTCCCTGCTATTGTCTGCCCACTTGTGGATTGATGAAAGGGTCCTGTGCACACCTCATAATTGTGAGAACTATCCAAGCTACTGTCACCTTGATCCAACTTTTCTAAACAGACCATTACGGTCAGATACACATTTAGCGGCCGTTCCCTTTGAAGCTCAGTGCTTTAGGTGGACACATTTTCTTTAATAGTCCATAAAGCGTCACATTTCTTTCTACAACCGAGGGCGAGTTATTCGGGCTTACATAAGGCTCGGGCGTTTGATATCGAGCAGTTGCGTATTTTGATGTTTTGTTACAAAACTGTTTAATAAACTTGTGTAGAGCTGCATTTTAGATTCCAGCAGTCCGTCAGGAAAAACTCAACGACATTTTAGACTACTTTGAAACTATAACATCACAAGACATAATTATAATACAAAGAGTATTAATACGCACTTCTTATTTGAAATAAATTGTCGGAGAGAGTCACGTGTCAATATCTTGATTGATCGGTGACCCCTGGATCTTTAACACTGATAAGAGCCCCATTGACATTCCGCTCGCCTGAGGCCCTCGTGCCTCGTCAGCCGCCCTAATAGACACTCCAGTGACCCTGGATATGCTCTTATTAATCCATTCTTCATTCCGTCTAGAGTTTTGTCACATTCCATACCGCTCAGAAAACACCAGGCCTCACCCAAAGGTCTATTTGATCAATCCAAAGTGTTGAGTTGAGTTTTTACAGCGCTTTAACAATGAACAACAACTTACATTATAGACCTTTTTTTAACACATCAGTTAAATTTTAGTTATTTCATTTTGTTCTTTTTTTTTTTTTAGCAAATATGACCATATTGGATATGGAAATTATAACTATTTGAACATTCTTCTTTTTATATTTAGATTTGTATTTAGATTTGAGATGTTGTGTGCCCAGGTTAAGCGTAATGTTGTTAGAATTCTCCCTCCATACAAATCATATACAAATCCATACAATATTACAGTGACCCCTGTTGTTTTTTGAAAGGTGGCCTGTAGCTATATTTCAACATTTTAAAATGTCCGAATTTAGGTCGAGATTGCGCAACACGTAAGGAATGTTTTGTGAACTTGAAGAACTTAAATAGTCATCGCTTCCAATTTAGAAACGGCCCGTATTTACAAATACAAAAATGAGTTTAGACGTCTAACTGATTTCTGAACAGTATTTTACTTTTTGGTTTTGCGAGACAACGAGACATTCGAGTATTTCTTCTTATTTTTTTCATTTAAGTTTATCCATATGTGGCTTTTTAGAGAAATAAAACAGGAAGAAATAACAAAAATTAAAATACACCTTGAAAACATCTCATTACACTGATGTTCCCTTCATTTGAAATTTAACTATTATTTCGTCTCGCGTTGTATTTCATAAATCACTTTGAACCTAGAAGAAACCCTTTGGAAATCAATAAAAAACGAACTGCATCTTCTTTCAGACATGCTGGAAGAGCTGCCGGGTGAAGGGCGGGAGTGTGTGAACTGCGGCTCCTTCTCAACGCCGCTGTGGAGGAGAGACGGGACCGGACATTACCTGTGCAATGCGTGCGGCCTCTACCACAAAATGAACGGCATCAATCGACCCCTAATAAAACCACAGAAACGCCTGGTAAATGCCCATTTGTTAATAATTGTCATTTCTTGTTTTTTAGGTTTCACAAGACCTTCTCCAAACCAACATTGCAAAAAGTGAGCACGTGCAGTTATTTCTACCTGACCTGCTGACTCCCCTAAAATGACTTTCTTTGGTTTGACCTAATATAAACATTGATTCAATTAAATTATTACTGATTCAATCATATTACATTTTATTTCTCAGATTAATTAAAGCAGTTGATTTAGATGTTAACACATAAAGCACTTCTTTTTTTTTTTATTCTCAGACAAATCATTTTTATTGTGAAGTAGGCCTATTCTGCATTGGCAAATACTTAAAATTAAATTATTTTTATTAGGCAAATACAAACTTCAAGATTAGAGAGAAAAATATAAGATATCCTGATGTTCCCAGACAAGATCTAAACCTTTTTATAGGTTTTCTGGAAATTCTAAGCCGATACTTTTACAATATAATCTCATAAAATGAAATTATTTTTGTTATATATATTCATGTTAAGAGGGTAGTGGGTTGATCTCAGGGTCAGTACTGAGGAAGGCCATTGAAAGAGAGAAATTGAGCAAAGCCTTCACTGCTGTCCTGTTTCCCAGGAGTTTCTCTCTCTCTCTCTTTCTCTCTCTCTCGCTCTCTTTCTCTCTCATTCTCTTTATTTATATCTCTCTCACACAATTCTCTCTCTCGTCTCTACCTCTCTGTTTTCACTTTTGCATTCATGACCTTGTCCTTGGGTCGGTCTGTTTTTAGCCAAAGCAGCGCAAAACTCAAAACAACTCCAAACTTTATGCTGAATTTCAGCTGAGAAGCTTCATTCTTCCTCTAGAAGAATATGAATGACGTGTACCTTTAAAATCCTCCTTTGATTTCATAAAATTATGCTTGGAATGAATATATAGGCCTGGTCACAGAGTTCCCATCCATTTTCAATTGAATTCAATTCAAGTTTATTTGTATAGCGCTTTTTCTCTATTTCCTTATTTATGACCATAGTTGCTTACATTTAAAATAAATGCTGTATAATACAATTACACATCTTAGCCACTGCAAAATGATTTTACCAAAACATATATATATATAATTTTTTGATTGCCACGTTCATGATTCAGGATATTTTTCATTCATGAAAAATATATTCACATTTTATCTTCCCTTTTTTGAAGGGGTATCTTTATTTCTTCAATTCCTCTCTTCAGCTCTATAAAATTCTGTTAAAGTCCAGAAAGTTCATCACCTCCCTAACTTTCTGTATGTTTGTCTCCACAGCAAAGCACGTCACGACGAGCAGGTCTGTGTTGCACTAACTGTCATACCAGTACGACCACGCTGTGGAGGAGAAACGCAGAGGGAGAGCCCGTCTGCAACGCCTGCGGACTGTACATGAAGCTCCACGGGGTGAGTGCATGATTCAGTCTGCATTATTGTGTCACACACAACTGGTGTTTCTAACCAGAAATCAATTTAGGAGGTGCACACTGTGTGTATGTGCACGTCAGCGTGTGTGTGTGCAGACCTGTAGTCCACATGATGATACAGAGGTCATAGATGTGTTTTATCGGAAGACAATGAGAGCGAAGAAAGGAAGGGGAGTCGCTTAAATAAGCTTTGTTCTATAAACTAATGATTATCACTGCTGACAAACTGACTCGCACAAAAAAAACAAAAACAAAAAAACAATGTAGTTACAACTGCGTTTTTTAAACAACAAGACCCATATTCTCACCCGGTTCAACCGCCATTATAACTGAACCACCAACTCATTTTTAACTCTTGATTGCATAATGAATAATCAGTCAGAATTAAATTATACATTGTTTTTACTTTACTCTTATTTTAGGTACCAAGGCCATTAGCAATGAAAAAAGAAAGCATTCAGACGAGGAAACGCAAACCAAAGATGCCCAAAAGCAAAGCATCCTCAGGTAAGAGTTGAGAAAAGCATTTTAAAAGAGATGTTTTTGGAAAGTTTAATTTTTAGACTAAAGCAGACATGAGTGATTTGGATGGAAGTGTGGGAGTGAGTGAGTCAGAGAATGTGTGGAGAGAAATATGGGGTGAGCGAGAGAGTAAAGGGAGGGAAAAGGGAGTGAAAGAGAGAGAGAGAGAGAGAGCGAGAGCAGTAACAGCACTTTTCTCTGCATTCAATCGACATGTGGTGCGTGTGCGGCACCAGCATAAACACCAACGGATGTTTGACGCCATTAATTGTCATTTGCAATAACCAGTATATCCAGTTTGCTGTTCCTTTATTGTGGCTGTCAGTCACATCTTGTTCTATTTGTCTTCAGGGTCAACAGTGTCTGGCGCTATGTCTCCCACTTCATTGCCTGTGTCAGAGAACGCCTCTACAATAAAGAGGGAACCCAGTATCGCAGCTTCACCATATGCAGGCCAAACTGTTGTCTCAGTCACACAGGTACTCATGTGATTGATTGAACTGTATTTTTTTTTCTTTGTATATGTCACCGTCAATGAAAGGCAATGATTAAATATGGGTTCAAGTTCAAGTTCACTCTAAAAAAAAATAAAGTGTCTAAAGTGTCTTTTTTTTGTCATCAATGGTTCCATGAAGAACCTTTACATGGAAGTTTTACATTGGACAAAAGATTCTTTAGATGATGAAAATGTTCTTCTCACTTTACTGAACTACATGAACTGTAGACTGACATGAATCTTCTGTGGCATTGTTGTCTTGAGTCCAAAACAACATTATTGACTTTTAAATTCATTCTTCAACATGAAAATTCTGTCATCATTTACTCACCTTCATTTTTGGGTGAACTATCCCTTTAAAAATAACCCTTCTATGGCAAAGCTCGATTTGGCAGCTAACAATGTCTCTCTTTGTTCTTTATAAGGCATCGACACAGTTGGACAGTGCCAGTTCAGCACATGTGGACATCAAATATGAAGACTACACGTACACCCCGACGTCAATCGCCCCACAGAATTCCTGGTGTGCGCTGTCCCAAGCGTGATCTGAGACCTACTACCTTCTCTAAACCTCTCCAGTGCATTCTGGGAGAAAAGACTTTTAACAAGATCTACCTAATAGAACCTTTACACAAATGTAGACAGACGGATCTTAGGAATGCAAGAGACTGACTGTAATTTGTGCTACTTTGCCTCATTGTTTTAACGTGGCATATCTGTCGGTGACGTCACGGCCAATTCACGCAATTCCGCCAAAATACGGCGGGCGACAAGCAGCGACTCAGCAACAGTTCTCAAGTTCCTTAAGCAATGATCAGGAGGACAAAAAAAAGCTTTTTATGGCTTCTGAGCATGTTTCATGACTTAGATGTTAATGATTAACTTTTAAGATACATTATTTATGTTGAGATAAGAATAGTGGAAGCACACAAGTCTCTCCCATAATTCCCTTTATCCTTCAGGGAATGCGTCTTTATGGTCACTGTGACTTTAGATCACATACTTTCCCTGGATGAGGCTTTTAAAAGTTTCTTTGTCGTCTTTGCTGATTCCAGACACTTTTAATGCTAAATTGTATTCCTCCGATGATCCGAAGTGCAATGACCCTCTCTTTTCAGCAAATTTTGAAAAGGGACACATTTATATTAATTGTTAGAAATTTTGTGTTTTGTTTTGTCAGAATATGTTAACCTAAATTTATTTGCTGTATTTTGTTGATATATATTGGAAATATAGCAATGGTTTATTGCATATAAAATTGCCGAACATCTGCTTTGTGTCTGCACTTGTTTGTAGAAATATTGTAATTCTGCCTAAATTTTGTCTATGAAACTATGAAAATGTTGTTGTTTTTTAAATACAGTTCAAAAAAAATGTTTATGGGTCATAAACAGTAATTTATTTGCAAAAAAAAAATCTAAACTGTGTTATTTGAAAAAAATTCTAAACTGTGTAGTAAACATAACAAGATGAAAGAAAGACATGTAAATCTTTCTGGAAGAATCTTATCTTTGAAGGTTGATGACGGTTCAACAGGCAAAAGTGTATTTTATAAGATCATAGCATATTTTGACATCAGTATCATCCTGTTTTTATTATAATGATGGACCGTGGGGGGATTTCCATGGATTTATATTCGTTTTTTCAGTGTCCAAAAACAGCTCTGTGAACTTTAAACTGATATACCAACACACTCTAATGGCAGTTTGTAACTGTTTTACATTTTGCCCAATTGTTGGCTAAATCATATGAATATATACGATCTCATTCATACATTTTTGTACGTTTTTGTATTTGCTTACGCCCCACTGACAGTTTAGGTTTGGGGGTGGATCTTGCTTACTCTATTCTAAAAATCGTATGTTTTTGTACAAATCACATTGTATGAATTCATATGAAACTGCCACCTTGTCAAATGCTTAGATTTTCTCATAAGGACACTTTATTTTACTTGATTATCCCTCAAAATATTTGAATATTTTTTAAGCTTCATTCCCAAAAAAAAAAAAAAGACCAAACAACCAATTTAACTTGTTCTGTTTTGAAAAGTAGTAGTTAAAAGTGTTAATATTTAAAATGTCCTGACTTTATAATGCCAAGGAGCAGGCCATATATGAATTGTATGAAACGCTTTGATGTTTATGACTTTATATAGTTCTTTTGTGTAACCTGTATCCTCATAGGTGTTGCTGAGTGTTTGCGTTAATGACTCTCGGTGTCTGAGCGTACCTCTCTCCGCAGAGTGTTGGCGATCAAAGGTTGCGTTCCAGCTTGGCTTTATGGTGCTACGATTTTGGGTTGGGCTAGAACATGTTGGCTCTTGGCGGGCGCGTCAGCATGTAGCCCACCCGCTTTACAGCCCCATGGCGACAGAGAGGCACCGCCATCCACCTTTATTGCTATTTGCTAAATTAGCTCGCGTTATCTCTTGGTGTCTTACTTTTTGTTGCCCAGGTGATGATGTGCAGGGTCAAGAAACTGTTGCATCAGGTTCATAACCTTAACCTCAGGAGTAGTGCTTCATAAGCATATTTCATTTGGTGTTTTTATGTGCTCATTCCATGATCATCATCCCACAACTCACTAATATGAATAATTATCACTTCTGAAATGAGGCACTACTGAGTGCAGTGTTTGGTGGTGAGTTTGGAAGCATACTTTATACTGAGCATCGATTTGAAACATTGAAACTCATCCATTTCTCCTTAAACAATCTTTATCTGAGGTGATAGGCAATGAGCGCTAACCAGGCCAACAAGACCCTCAGGACAACATTGAAGTGCATTTCTGACCAAGAACTGACTTAAAACAAGTGACAAGCAATTGTGTTTGTAACTGGTACAATTAAATACAATTTTCAAATATTTCTGATAATCATCAGGAGATTCCATGCCTTTTTCTGTAGTCTATATTTAATGATAATTTCACATCTCCAAAGGTCGACCATCATGATTTTTAAAAAATGCTTGAGGTTCAGGCATTTTCAATATTTTCTCTTACTGTTGAGCGTTTCTGTGGCCAAAGGCAAAGTTTTCCCAGGGTCACCTTCCTTCATTCATTTTCTCTGCTTTGCGCTCTCTATCCTGCGGTAAAAACAGGATATTGTAGAGCAGTTCTGACCATGAAGCAAATTATGGAGGGGGTGACAATTTATCAAACTGTGACAGTGGACTCGGCTGAAGGATTGTTGCTTTTTGACTGTACATGTGTGTGTCACAGTGTGATGTATGGCTATACACATCGGTGACTGCGTCTGTAACCGCATCTTACAAGTTGCAGCAATCATTAGAATTCTGGGATGGCTCCATGGATTCATGGGGACTAATTCAAACACCTTATAGACTGCAAAAGATCACTTTCTTAGCCAGTACTGTCTTGTTTTCCAAGTTTTTGAACATCTATACGATACAAAAGTTTAGGTAATTTTATGATTTATTTAATGTTTTCGAAAGAAGTCTCTTATACTCTCCAAGGCTGCATTTATTTAATAATAAAAAAACAGTAATATTGTGAAATGTTATTACTTTACTGTCACTTTTGATCAGTGTAATATGTATTTGCTGAATAAAATGTTTAATTTATTTAAACATTACCCCAAACTTTTGAATATTATGTAAAGAGTTGTATTCAGATAATATAATATATTTTTCATTTGTATGTAATTTTTTTTCTTATTGGCAAATAATATTTTTTTCTTGTTTTTAAGCATAGTCTATGGTTTATTTAAAAAAATAAGAAAATCTTATGCAAATTTGCATCTCAAATCAATTTTTATCCAATTTAGAATTTATATGTATATTTTATATGGAGATTTAGATAATTTTACTGGAAAAAAGAATATACAGATTAAAAAAAAAAAAATTGTAACCACCAAGTTCCACCCACACAAAAATCCATTTGCACCTCCACCCCCAATTATTATGCAAGATAAAATGAATTGGCTACAATGCTGTCAATCATAAACCTCAGTGTTATATGAGGTCAATTATATATATATATATATCTTAGAATTATCGTTGCATGCACAGAGAACAAGATTTAAAACTAGAAATGTTTGATTAAAAAAATTAAACATAGAACAAGACATTGCACCTTGATTTTGTTAACCTGTGCATGTGTATTTTTCAGGGCAGTTCGTATTGGGGATTTCCTTAGAACGAGCAGTTAGATATCAGAGCTGCCAGAGCTACCAGAGCTAGAACACACTAAAACTGTAATGTGTTCTCATATAACCCCAATATAAGGCCTGGGCCAGAGAACAACCCAAGTGTGGGGGAGAAAGAGAGACTGTGCCTGGAAAACGGGGAGAGAATCGACAATAATGCAGCAATACTAATGAGGGCTCCAACTAGAGCATCCAGCTTACGTCTTCATTCAAAAATGCTCAAGAGGGGAGTTTTCTTAGACTTTATGTCTTTCTGTAGACTAATAGAGGTGAATGAGAAGGGTCGAGCAGCAGTGTTCTCAATTCTCTCCTTTTAGTTTTGTCAACATTTCTGCCAGTCTGCAGTTTTCAAAACACCAAAAAAACACCAAGGCCTTTCAGAACACACTATCAGTAAAATGACCTTAGAGGTGCCCTGTGTACTTTAAGCTATAGCATTTGTGAACTATTAAGTCTGCCAAGGCTTTCTTTCTTTCTTTCTTTCTTTCTTTCTTTCTTTCGCTCTCTTGCAGTTTCTCTTTCTTTACAGCACTACACCAGTTGACTGCCTTATTGGCCCCCTGCAACTAAAAAAAACACCCCCACATTCCCTAAGACACATACTGTCACTGGCACTTGTGTGTTTGTGTTAGTAGCTCTTGGAGGTTCACCACAGGACTCCTATTATATTGTAATTGAGAACTCTGTTCTTGAAAATGACCCCCACTTTTCACATTCTGGTTCTCATTGACCCTGTTTACCAGGTTAAGTCTCTCCAGTTTACTTCCTATTCTTCATGGGGCAACATTAACATTCTATGATGTAATAATAACAATAGTAACTTATATTAGCCCTATTGAAAAGAAATAGCAGCATGTTCAATATTATCACTTAAAGCGATAGTCACCCCCAGATAAAAATCCCAGACAGAAAAGAAGATATTTTAAAGGTGTCATATGATGTTGCTAAAAAGAACATTATTTTGTG